GAAGGGATAGCTGGAAGCAGGCGCGGGGCAGCAGGTTAGGCCGGTCGCAGCGGGTTTGGGTTGGCTGGATGAGGCCCTGCGCTTGCTGGTGAGGTGGGTCCAAAACCCGGCGGGTGGCGTCCCGGTTCTGCGAGCGAAGCCTTTGTGTGTCAGTGGTGGGGACGTGCAGTTTCCTCCTTGTAAGGGCTGTCGTGCTTGGTGGTGTTAAAGGCTCTTCCCTCTCCGAACTAAACTCATAAATTGGCGTTCTGTTCCCGAGCGGGCTAGGTGGAGTGCTTGCCAGCCCTGTCTTGGTTGATCTACCAAGGAAATTTTCCAGACTACCAAGAAAATTAGTTGCAGTAGTCTCTTGCTGTGGTAGTCTTGCCTATTAAATATCTGGCCTGTCTCACTTATTACACATAAATCCAGACAAAACCAGTCTAAAATTTTATTGCTGCCTCCCTGGTTTTCAGCAAACTAGAAGACTTTATTTGTCTTTACAGTAATAATGTTTGAAATTCTTGGGGTTTGAGCACAAGAATTCTTTTTGTGTTATAGCGAAGCATGTTGATATTCATTAGAGAAGCACATTAGTAACTTCAGAAAGTTTCTTTACTTCCTTTCATCGTTGACCACGGCATTTGCCAGTCGGAAGGAGCAGGAATTACCTTTAAGGCCTATTCTGTGTTTTTTCAGTTGGCCCTTGAATGCTTACTATTGACTAGAGCTTCTAGCTGAACTTAGCCTTATACCAGTCTTGAGGAAGAAAACTGCACGCGTGCATAATTGTGTGCACCGGGAACAATTCTCTTGATGACGGGATTCGCATCATGCTTACGTGCTTGTCACCCTACTAGATGGTGCCATCTGCAGTTCATGTTCTCACCGTTGACTTCAGTGTGTGTAGTCATTTTCAGTTAGATATACAAGAAATATAAATTGAATTGCCTGTGTTAGGTGGACAAAACTTGTTTTGTATTGAGTGTGAACGTTTTATTCATGTAATACTTGAGAATAGAATGAATGAGTTTACATTTTTACACAGATGTGTTTAAGTTTGATTGTTATGCACAGAACCTGCATGTAACAGTGTAAACAATACATGATTTAATGTCACTTAATGTGTGTGTGTTATTGGTATCCTAGCAAAATATTTATATCCTGTCCTACACTGAGAACTCTTTTGGCATTGTGAAACTTTGCTTGAACTGAGCAGCTCATCCATATGAATTCAGTGCAGGATGGAAATGAGACAGTTTCAAAAATAGGAACATTTCAGTGGATTTCAACATTTGTCCAATATTTGGACAAACAGCTTTAAAAAAACCAAAACAACTCTTTCAGAGTTGTCTTTTTAACTATACAGAATGTATTTGTAAGTGCTTCGACCTGCCAGGTGCTACCAGTAGGTTCATGAGACGGTCTATTTAGGACAGCAGAATTTTTGTCTGGTACCTAAAGTAGAAATAACAGTATTTGAGGAAAAAGTAGCCATTTAAAGAAAACAAAATTAAATCCATGACGCTAATGAAATCTCTGGGCCTACTGACTCCAAAGTGTTGCTTGTAATTATATATTGACTGTAATGGAACCTTATACCAATTAAACAACTGTTTATTGACAAACCTTCTTTTTTAAAACATAGATGCAGTTCACTATGTAGCCCATGGAAAGTTAACTGGAATTTGCCTGTTATGTGTAACTTAAGTTTGGGGGTAGATAAGGGGTTTTTTGTGTGTTAGAGCTGCTTTTTTTGTTTTGTTTACTTCCATCTTCCTTTAACACCTCGCAGCCTATACCAATTTACAGTCAGTGTTTTGATTTGCAACCTATACTTATTTCCAATCAGGATTTTGTTTACTTTTTGTCCTATTTCACATACTTAAAAGACTGGAATGCGTATCTAGAGTTATTTTAATGAGCTTGGTTGGATTTTTGCTGAATAGAACTACTGGATAATTTTTAAGAAAATACATATAGTACTCTCTAAACATTTAAATACAAGAAGAATAAATTCTAAAATCTCCCTCATACAGGATGTTACCAAGTTGACGCCTCTTTCACCAGAAGTCATCAGCAGACAAGCGACA